ACACAGCTGCATCTGCAGCTTGGGTGACCTGAGTCAAAGAACATCATGGTGCCGTTCAACACGGGATGGTGTTTTCTGATTAAACCGGTTTTCCTTCTTTTTTTTGGATCTCGAAATCACAGTTTCACTGCATTGACACAGCTGCATCTGCAGCTTGGGTGACCTGAGTCAAAGAACATCATGGTGCTGTTCAACACGGGATGGTGTTTTCTGATTAAACCGGTTTTCCTTCTTTTTTTTGGATCTCGAAACTTTTCCTGAATGCTGTGTATTTTCACATGATGTAAATAAAATACCTACATTTTAAAATGGGATATATGCAATTTGGGATATTTGCTCTATTACTCTCACTTATTTAACGTATATCTATAGGTCGTCTGCTGTAAGTTACACTCTTGCCAAAGATTTGGGATATTTGCTCTGTTACTCTCACTTATTTAACGTATATCTATAGGTCGTCTGCTGTAAGTTACACTCTTGCCAAATGAAAGGAAGTGGGGGGCTGCTGTTATAGACCCTGTCCCAGGGAGTTTTCTCTCTTGTTCATGCTTCCCAGTCTTGAGATCTTTGGAATATCATTTAATCTCTGTGAGTCTCTGTTTTTCCTCAGAAAGTGAGAATATTGATACACACTTTATAGTGTTTCTAGGAAATTTTGAGACTATAAAGCACTTAGCATATAGTTGGTGCCCAATAATTCACCTCTCACACAACAGACTCTTGAAGAGCAGAAAAGTCTACTTCTCTGTTAACTGGGATACTTTCAGATGAACGTTGAAATTTCATGGGTTCCTGTAAGACTCATGATATACATTATACTCTACAAAAGGCCTCAGTGAAGAAAATCCGCTTAGTAGCTAACCAGTGAGGGGAGAAATGGGTCATCAACTAAGCTGATTACACTCCAGGCCTTCACCAAGCCAGATATACTTGTGGAGTTTCCAGACAGCCTAACTCTACAGTCTGGCTAGATCTCTGCAGTTCTTCTAGAGGTAAAAATCCCAAACAAGGAGAGAGTGCTATGGTTGCAAAGTCTGTAGCAGACATGGAGACGTGCTGCCTAGATCCCCCTTCAACGAATGAGTTGATGCTTAGCTGCAAGCAATGCTTGCACAAGGTCATGCCCCTTCCAAGGCAGCCCACATGCAGTGACTGGAGATGGTGAGGGCATCAGGGCCTGGCCAGTTTGACCTGATGGGGACCAACTCTGACGGGCAATTCTCATGCTCATCCCTCATCAGGATTGCCAGGACTTTGTCAAGCTTGCTTCGTGGAAATACGTGAGTCAATCATGGGTCTCACAAACCATCAGTGAATTCCTTTCTCTCCCCTTACCCCAAAATATTAAAGCCTAAAGAGTCCTCCTTCCCTACAATATCACTTCTGTCCATCCCATGCCAGCCTCTTCAAATGAATCCAGCTCAGCCCACCTTTGCAGAGATTTGCTTAGAGTTTGTGAAGAACACACACTGTCATGCCATCTCTGGAATCATCCAGGTCACTTCTCCACCTCCCCTTCTCCTCTCCTGATCTCCTCATCCTCTGGTTTACTTATTTGGTTTACTTTTTAGGAATAGGGAGTAGCTATGTTGGGAGTTAAGACAGGAGACTAAGACAATTAAAGTTAGCTTGGGTCATGCCATCGACCTTAAACAACATGTGGTTAAGTGTGGCCCATAAACTCAAGAGATCCTAACAACAAAGGGGAGGGGGTCAGAGAATATTGCCATCCAATCTTCCCTCCTGCAGGATGCTTCTAGGAGTTTGGCTCTTAGAGTTCTTGGTAGAGAGAAAGTCATGAGGGAGAAGTTACTCTATGCTTATGAAATAGATGTAAATAGCTGCTGGAAGGAAGCTCTCCCACTTGTCTTAATAGAATCTTAATAAGAGAGTATCCTACATATTCAATTGGAAAAAACCATTCACTCCCCCTACCTCCCCCCAATATTAGTGGAACTTTGGGATAACTAAGATAGAGAACTGGGCCACTTATCATGGAGAAGACAGGCTGCCATTCCTTTTTCTCAAGCTGGAGGCTTTCTCACCCCTTCATCTGCTGCCAACCACATCTGAGAGGGCTCCTTTGGCTACCCATGCTGTGTATGTGGTATGCCTGTGGTAGACACACAGAAGACTACATTTCCAAGTCCCTTGGCAAAGGGGAGCCATGTGACTCATGTTCTGGCTAATGAAATGCTAGAGGAAACAATGTCTGAAAAGCCCCTATATGATTCTCTTTCTCCTTGTTGTGGAAATCTTTGACATTCCAGTTGGTAGAGTTTTCATTAGTCCTGGAGTAAATATGTGAAGCACAGCCCTCCCTCTACCCGTGTATTTCACTGACCCGAGTACACTCTGTGAGAGCAGGCACTGACTTTCATGTGTTAAACCACTGACATTTGGGAACTGTTATCACAGCAGAAGCCTAACCTATGCTGACTACAATGCCCTCGCAATTAAATAAAATATGCCCAAGTACCTGTAAGTTCATTTTTGTTTTAACTAATTTATACAATTTTTAAAACAAAAACTTCCAGCCCTAGACAACTGCTCACTGAGTTCCTCGATTGATAGCCTGGCCTTGATAGCCCAGTCCACTTTCTAGGACACAATTTCTGTTTTTACCTTGTTGTGTCCTGCAACTTAGACAGGCAACTGCAGATAAGTGACATTAGGCATACCCTCCACCTAGTCAACAGGAATATAATGAGGTTGTAGCAGAAAAAGACGTGATGAAGATGTCCTGATTCCAAACAATCTCCAGCCTAAGTTTTCAAGGGCAGCATGCTGCAGGATCACCAGAGTCCAGGCTGGTCTTCAGCACTGGAAGATCTGAAATTCTTTTGCCAGGACTCTCAGAGACATTCAGTTTTGAGGGACTGATTCATACTAACTCGACTCATGTACCAAAAGACTAATATATAAAACAGACACCATTTTATTTTTTACAATGGAAATTCAGTCACTTGAATGTTCATGAGCACAATCCGGGATGATTCTTCTCTACAAGAGCAAACCAGGGAAGACAGAACACACAAACGAAAGTTGACAGATGGGTATTGGAAGACTGACCACCTTGGAGGCCTTTCCATCCAGACCACGAAGACAGGCCATATGAACCACTGGAAAGTTTAATCTTCTCTTTCTCTATTTCCCTTTTTCTCTTTCTCAGGCAATATTAAAAACTGATGATAATAATAATGCTAACAAATTTCTGCTTTCAAGTTCCTGACTTTTGTTCACACAGGTTCAGTAAAACTGGCTGTACGTTAGTTGTCTTTAGGTCAATAATTGTTCAGTCTTGACTGGCTCAGACAATCATTTAAAGACAGCATGTTAATCATTTCAACAGATGGCTGTTTTCATCGATAGCACTTATATTTGTTCTAATATGGGGGTTGTCTGTCACTCTCAGGTATCAAACAATCAGAACTGAGTCTCGGGTCTCCAGAGATCCAGCAGAAAACACCTTTACGAATCTAGATAAGGGACTGGCAAACTACAGCCTGCAGGCCAAATCCAGTCTGTCACCTGTTTTTGTAAATGACATTTTATTGGAATCCATCCATGCCCACTAACTTACATATCGTCCCTGGCAGCTTTTGCATTCCATCAGCAGAGTTGAGCAGCAGTGACGGAGCCTATAATATTTACTATTTGGCTTTCTTTACATGAAAATTTTGCTAACCCCTGATGTAAACAGTGTCTTTGTCATCTTCCAACCAAATAACTTCTCTTACCAGTGGCTATGGCCACAGTGATAGCCAGTTGCATCCTCCAGGAAATGGCAGAAAATATGCAAATATAGGAACTTCACACTCAGGAGCATAGTTGTGACCGTGGTTCTGATCACAGGTTTTGGTGGCTCAAATAATTTATTTCTGTAATGAGCCTGCTGAGAACCACATTGCAGAGATCAAGACTGAATGAATAAAGATCTCAGGCTGGCCAGACAGTTGTCAAATACCTGGATTCCAAAAGACAATTTATCACACTTCTGTGAAAATCAGTCAACTCTTTGGTCCTCAGTTTTCTCATCTGTGAAATCAAATAGCCCAGCCTCCATAATGGGTTGTCTTCAGTATCAAATGAGAGAAAACCTGGGGGAAATACGTTATAAGGTCTTTTGTAACTGCGAGGGAGAGTACTGTAACTTTAGAAATCACAGTATCACACTGGTTTGTGCTAGTAAATGTTCAACATGATATAGACTGCCTTGCATAATCCTAGCAAAAGAATTTCCTTCGATCACTTGCTGTCCCAAGATTTCCTCAGCTGTAACCCAAAGGACTTGGCACCAGGCACCCTGGATGCTCAGCTCACTAGAGCCCAGCCCTGTAGACAAGGAACAAATCGAGCTAATTTCCTTCGATCACTTGCTGTCCCAAGATTTCCTCAGCTGTAACCCAAAGGACTTGGCCCCAGGCACCCTGGATGCTCAGCTCACTAGAGCCCAGCCCTGTAGACAAGGAACAAATCGAGCCTTCACCCGAGATCATTCACTTTCTCCTGTGCACAGAGACGACATCTCAGTGGTTTCCCAGTTTTAAGCAAAACTGAACAGGAATCTTCCTTTCAAGTGACTTGCTGAGAGAACAGAAAGGCTCAGAGACACCCTCAGGAACCCAGGTAAGTTTCAGTAAGAACCACAAAGGCTGCTACTCAGGGGCAGAGGTGACCTGTGTGCCAGACAGGTCGGGGACAGTGGGGTCACTGCTGAAGAGGGTCTCTCAGATCCCTCTATCCTGACATTCTGAGAGCAAATTAAGAAGTGGTTTCTTGAGCATCACCCAAACCTCTAGAATTTATTAAAAATCAAATGATTGTCTCTAGGCAGGAGAGCACCCAGAGAGTAAATGTTAGAAATCAGTGGGGGCTCAGCGTGTATGAGTGGGGTATGTCTGTGTGTGTGTGTGTGTGTGTGTTACCGCAAGCACAACTGAAGTACAGACAGCCTGTGTGTGTGAGTGCCCGTGAGTTAACACACATGTAATTAAGATGCGATAGGAGAGTGGGAAGGACTGTGCAGCCCAACGGCCCGGTCCAAACTCCAGAGCTGCCACTGCCTCGCTGTGTAATCACGGGCAGTGTGGTAGCTGAGATCACTGTTCAGCAAATATTTCCTGCCCCACCATCACCTCCACAGGAAAAGTGTCCTCACTTGCCCTGTTAAAGTTGGCTTTGGCCATGAGATTTGCTTTGGCAGATAGTGGCAGTGCGCCCATTCTGAACTAAGAACTTAAGAGGCAGCGCATGATTTCTCCCATTTCTCTGATGTCATCTGACCTCACCATGACAGAAGCCTGCTGCGGGTAGCCACGGCTATTCCCCAGCCCTGGCACCAAGTGGCCCATGCTGAACAGAGCCACCCCAGTCCACCCACAGACCCGGGAGTGTGAAAATAGGTGTTTGTTGCTACAGACCACGGAGATTTTCCTTGTGTTTGTTAAGCAGCAAAACCTGACTGACACGGGCAAGTTACTTACCACCCCCCACCCCCGTTTCTTCTCCAAGAAAATGTTAAGAATAGTGGTGCCTGCTGCAAACAGTTGTTATAGGAATTTCAATGGGTTCATGCACATAGAGCACTTAGAACACTTCCTGGCACACGGTGAGTGTTTAATAAGTGCTGGCAGTTGCTGCTGTTGCTGGGGTGTGTGTGCATGAGTAAGCAGGTGCCCACGTGGATAAGTGGGCATGTATTTGGGTGTCAGACTGAGTGTGTGAAAGCTGAAAGGGGAGAGTGGACGAGAGCAGGTGACTGAGTTGGGGGAAGCACACCCCTCAGCAGAAGTACTCATTGATCCGTCTGCCCCCCTGGGTCCCCAAAGCCTGAGAGTCCAGGCTGGAACGGGCTGAGAGGAGCCTGTCGCCCTCGCCGAGGCTGTGCTGGGACAGCTCCTCCGAGCCATCCTCGCTGTGGCCAAGCCTCTCCAGGTTGACATAGGCGGCCGAGGCCTCGGTGGAGCCCGCGGTGCAGCACTTGCGACAGCGCCTCTGGAGGGTGTCACAGCAGACGAGCAGTGTGAGAGGCACAGCAATGACAGCGGCCACGCTGATCACCACCACGTTGATGAGCCGCTGGGTGTCCTCAGCATCCACCACCTCGTCGGTGGAGAAGATGATGCACTGCTCCTTCCGGGGCACCAGGCCCCGCACACAGACACATGCCACATACTTGGTCTTGGGCACCAGTCCATCGATGGTGACACTGGTCTTCCCAGGCTGCACAATCACCCGCTGCATGTTGTGCTGCCCAAAGACTGCATAGAGGACACTGAAGGCAGTTGTGTTTCTGGCCTGGGGGGCCTTCCACACCAAGGACACGCTGTGGTAAGTGTCCCCCACCACCTTGAGAGCCTTCACCACTTGGTCCTCCTGGGGTCCTGCCTGTCCTTCTGAGAGCCCTCCTGGGACACCCAGCTGGAAGTGCTGAAGGGTCAGCTCCTCCTTCGTGCTGGGCTCAGAGGGCCCAGTGACCAGGACAGCAGGCTCAGGAATATGGGGGACATGCCTGGCCACCAGCTTGTTGTTGTAAGCAGCAGCTTCTGCCCTCTCGCCTGTCCTTGCCCAGAGTGCCCCTGGGTTCCCACTGTGTCCTGTGGAAGTCTGAGGCTCAGTGACAATCAGGGTGACAAGAGTCTTGGAGGCTCCCAGGAAGTTCTTGGCCTGGCAGACATAGTCTCCAGAGTCCAGGTGGGACACCGCAGGCAGGCTCAGCAGAGACCAGCTCGTGCCGTCACTGGACACTTCCTGGTGCACTGGAGAGAAAGAGGCATATGTGGGAGAATGAATGCACCCATCTGCCCCACGCTCCCTTCCAGGGCCAACTTCACAGCCCCCAAGCTGCGCACCCTCTGCTGAAAATTCTGTCATCCCAAGAAAACACTAGCACTTATTCGACTTTTCTTAGACTAGCCAAGGGGATCAAGGTCACCTGGGCCCAAATTAGAAGATCCCCTGGATCTCCAGGCACAGCCTAAGAATGATTTGCCTTCTGAATCTGAGACGTTCAACCATGTTGTCCAGGGCCCTGGAGTCCTGCAGAGGTGATCCCCTCAGGTGCAGTAGGCAGGTGCGCTGGGGGTAAGCAGGTCGGGGGTGAACCTGAGGCAGAGGCCCAGCTGGCAGTGCCCTGCCCACCCCTGCCCAGACCCTCTGCCATCCACTCGAAGCATCTTCACCTCCTCGTCTTCCACAGCAGAGCTTCTTGTACAATTTTGCTTGTAAATTGATTTCAAACCTGCTGCCCTAGAGCAGCGGTCGCCCACCAATTGAGGGAGACACAGAAGAGAGCTGGGAGGGACATGGGGTTTTCTGGTCGGATGCTACGAAATCATTCCTCCTCAACCCCCTTGCTGCCCGTGGTGGCCGTGACTCCTGCAAATGCCTCCCAGTTCCCGCCATGACAGAGATGAGCCACTCCGCCCACACAGCACAGCAGAGCAACACAGTGGAGTCGGCTAGAGCATGCTGGAGTCCCAGTTCCTCCTAGTATGAGCTGTGTGATGTAGGCCAAGCATTTAGCTTCTCAGAGCCTCAGGTTACTTACATGCAAAACAAGGAGGATAATCAGGTTGCTCTTCAAAAGTCAATGACATTATGCACATATTTCACTTAGCACGAGGCTAAACCCACATGAAGAGCTCAATAGATGGTAACTCATTTAATTAATTACTCCTGGTGTTACTGGCTTAATATTTACAACTGGGAAACTTACTATAATTATTAAATATACTAACCGAGTGTCTGCTACCAAAAAATCAGTTTTTTGTTCCTCCCAGGGGGGGCCCCCAGCCTCTGATGGAGTGGCTGGTGGAATACAGCAGGACAGGTCAAGAGCCATCATCCTCATTAAATGCACTGCCCCCTGTCCCCTGCCTCTGGGCAGATCCCATCCAACTCCACTCAAACAGATGGGCGCCCAGCCTTGCTCAGACCTCTTCCCCCTGACCCTGCCCACCCCTGGCCCACCACCCCGGTCCCTGTGGTTCACACACCTGTGCCATTGAGTGGGCTCCCATTGGCCCTCTTCCAGCTCATCTCAGGCCCAGGGACCCCGGTGGCTCCACAACGTAGCAGTGCTGTGCTGCCCAGAGGAGACCTGATACTGGACACCCCCGGATGGAGCGCTGGGCCCTGGCACTTCCTCAGTTCCAGCTGGCTGAAGGCCACACCAGCCAGGCTTCGAGGGCTAGCACACCTCAGCCTGTCCTCGATGAAGGCCAAGTTCGGGGCCCAGCCATCCAGGAAATGGACCAGGTCATAGAGTCGGCAGTCACACACCCAGGGGTTGTCCTGAAGCCCTGTGGCGATGATAGAGAAGGCAAGAGGTAAGCCCTAAATGCGCAGATTTAGTGAGTCCGCAGTCCCACTCCCAGGCCTGGCCCCCTTCCCCTCAGGGACGATGAAGTAGGTCCCCAGCTCAGAGTCTGCAGAACTGGCTTCCAGCCCCAGCTCCTTGCCTTGCTAGCTGTGTAACCTTAAACCTGGTTCTTCATCTTGAATGATAGCATTACTTTCCTCTCACGGTTGCTACAAGCATAAAGAAAGATAAACCATGTTAAGCACTGGGTAGAGCATACAGCTTACCCTCAAAATTGGCAATTACTGCTGCCCTTCTTGGACCTAGCGTTTTACGCTACTAGCCAGGCAGTATTTAGTAATAATTGCAATATGCAAAACCAATTTCTGGAAATGTTTCACTGACTCGTGACCCTTGACCCCCATCCTCCCAATATAAGTGGCATTTTCAGCATCATCCTAGCAAGGAGGGTGGCTGCTCTGAGCCATCGTCCCTTTGGCATAATGTGTGTCAGGAGGAGGGTGAGGAAGCCAGAAAATCAAATCCTATGATACACCCTGAGTCCTCTCTACTCTAAAAGTGAACATCTTTATAGAGCTGAAAGCAGGTCACTGCTCCCCTCCCCATCAAAGAAACTTACAGAAGGGCACCATGTGTCCTCAATTCTAAGGCACAATTCTTTTCTATAAGTTTGCATTTCTGAAATGCAAAATGAATACATTTAATAATGATGTCCTTTTTATCCCCCAAAGACTATTATTAAATTTGATAGTGTGTCTAATAATCAATGACATCCTACACATTTACGTACAGTGTCTGTGGGGGGTTAGCTCCAGGACTCCTACGGATGCCAAACTCCCTGGATGCTCAAGTCCCTGATAATAAAATGGTATAGTATTTGCATATAACCTGTGCATATCCTCTCACATGCTTCAAATCAACTATCTTTGGGGGGTTAGCTCCAGGACTCCTACGGATGCCAAACTCCCTGGATGCTCAAGTCCCTGATATAAAATGGTATAGTATTTGCATATAACCTGTGCATATCCTCTCACATGCTTCAAATCAACTCTAGGTTACTTTTAATACCTAACACAGTATAAATGCTCTGTAGATAGTTGCTACACTCTATTGTTTAGGGAATAATGGCAAGAAAAGAAAGTCTGTGCATGTTCAGTAGAGATGCAATTTGTTTTTCAAATGTTTTCCATCCACAGTTGGTTGAGTCCACGATGCAGAACCCACAGACAGAGGCCAACTGTATTTGACGTATTTGAAAAGGGGAATGTCAAAGGGTTGAGGGGCGCTCATTCAGATCTGACTGTATAGCCACGTCTCTCACATCCTTTTGAGTACCAGGTGGGAGGGTGCCAGTTCCTCCTCCCACCCCCTCTCACCCCACCCCACCAGTGGCTGCTGCCTTGTGTCACCAGTTAAATGCACTTAATGATACGTCCGCAAGCCAAAATTCATCATTGCCTGGCTCTGGCGGTGAGCTATCTGGCTTTCATTTAATCATAACAGGGCCCGAAATAATTAATGCAAAGGTGAAGTTAAACAACAGTGAAACTTTCACCTGCCAGATTGGCGAAAGTTAAACATTTTGGTCATTTTTGTGAGTGAACAGATTTTTGTCTATTTTGTTCACTGCTATGTCCCCACAGCACGTAGAGCAGCCTGTGCATGTTCAGTAGAGATGCAATTTGTTTTTCAAATGTTTTCCATCCACAGTTGGTTGAGTCCACGATGCAGAACCCACGGACAGAGGCCAACTGTATTTGACGTATTTGAAAAGGGGAATGTCAAAGGGTTGGGGGGCGCTCATTCAGATCTGACTGTATAGCCACGTCTCTCACATCCTTTTGAGTACCAGGTGGGAGGGTGCCAGTTCCTTCTCCCACCCCCTCTCACCCCACCCCATCAGTGGCTGCTGCCTTGTGTCACCAGTTAAATGCACTTAATGATACGTCCGCAAGCCAAAATTCATCATTGCCTGGCTCTGGCGGTGAGCTATCTGGCTTTCATTTAATCATAACAGGGCCCGAAATAATTAATGCAAAGGTGAAGTTAAACAACAGTGAAACTTTCACCTGCCAGATTGGCGAAAGTTAAACATTTTGGTCATTTTTGTGAGTGAACAGATTTTTGTCTATTTTGTTCACTGCTATGTCCCCACAGCACGTAGAGCAGGAAGGCACTCAGAGCTACCCGCTGAGCGACACACTCATGGGCAGTCTCGCACGCTACCAGTGCGGAGTGAGGACTGGCCCAGCCACTTCAGAAACTGTCAGATTGATTTAAAAATATCTAATATGCACACAACATGGCCTAGCAATTCCACTTTTCATTCCCTATCCTAGAGGAACACCTGTAAGGACGCACTGCTGAGAAGCTCCCTGTGACATCGCAGGTGTTAACCAGGTAATGGAAACAGTCTAAGAGTCCATTGAAGGGAAAATGGCCAAGTAAACTGCAGCACAACTATACTACGGGATATTGTGCAGTAGTTTTTACAAATGAAGTTGACCCACTTGTAGTAATTTAGAAAGATCGCTAAGATATATTGCTGGGTGGAAAAGTTAGTGCCGAATAATATGGATGATATGATAAAATTTTATGTAAAATGTGCACATAACTCTTCTGTGTGCATGTATGTATGTATATGTATGTATATATGCACACATATGTAAATGTATCTTAAAAGATGGGGCTCTTGCATATAAACATGGTAACAGTGGCAACCTTTTGGGAAGTGATTAGAATAGAAATAGGGAACATGAGGGTCTTTAGCCTTTTCTGTAATATTTTATTTTATTATTGATAGTATTTTTTTATTTTAACATTTTCTTGTACATATTTGTGGGGTGTGATGTGTTGTTTTCGAACTTGCATAAACTGCACAATCTTTTTTGTAATGTTTGACGTGTTTACATATATTCATGTATGAGTTGAATAATTCAAATCAGTTTTCCAGAGTGAGTTACACCTCACCTGTCATCCTCAGGGCCAGGCAGGTGCCGTGGGCAGAAAAGGAGATCTGGTTCATTCTGTAAGCCATTGGTTTGTTAGGAACAGGAAGAGATAGAAGTAACAGAGTCCAGCTGGTGTATTGTGCTAACCCGTTTAACTCTGAGTTGGGAAACTGAGTCTCAGGCGACCGACTTTGGGTGGTGTGGCTTGGAAGCCCTCTGGTATCTCAGTTTCCTCACTGGTAACACTGGGATTTGACCTGGCTTGGGGCTTGAACTCCTGCACCTGCCATTCTTGCGGAGCTGACTCAGTTTCCACTCCAACCCCACAGGCGGGTATGATTTCTACTTGAATCCAGACTCCAAGAGGCTTGGTAAAGCCCAAGACACCAAGGCTCACCAGGGAGGCTCCCAGTGAAGGATGTCGCGTCTTACCTAGGACCAGCCTGGCGTGGTGGCCGGGGAGGAAGAGCCCGGTCTTCAGGTGCGTCCAGGTGCCCAGCAGCTCCTGCGGGAGCCTCAGCAGCTGGTTGCTGGAGAGGTCGAGGAACGTGAGGTTGCCCAGGAAGCGCGCGGCCTCGGGCGGCACG